TTCGGCTCTGTATTGACTACCGAGCTCTCAACAAGCTCACCATCAAGAACAAATATCCCATACCTTTGGTGGCCGACCTCTTTGACCACCTCAGCAGGGCCAAGTACTTCACCAAGCTAGACCTGAGGTCGGGGTACTATCAAGTGCGTATAGCCGAAGGGGATGAACACAAAACAGCTTGTGTTACCCGATACGAGTCCTTTGAGTTTCTTGTCATGCCCTTTGGGCTCACTAATGCTCCAGCCACCTTTTGTACATTGATGAACAGAATATTTCATCCCTACTTGGACCAATTTGTTGTTATGTATATTGATGATATTGTAATTTACAGTAGAACCTTGGAGGAACATGTTGACCACCTCCGTACTGTTTTCTAGGTCTTGCGGGACAACGACCTGTTTGTTAAGAAGGAGAAATGCTCTTTCGCCACAGAAGAGGTGGCCTTCCTCGGCCATATAATTCGAGCAGGCACAATCAGCATGGATCCAGCTAAAGTCAGGGCCATTCAAGATTGGGCACCTCCCACCAGGGTCACCGAACTTCGCTCCTTCCTTGGCCTCGTGAACTACTATCGAAGATTCATCTCTGGATTCTCAGCACGAGCCACTGCCCTCACCAACTTACTGAAGAAGACTAGCATGTGGATCTGGAATGAATGTTGCCGAACAGCTTTTGATGATTTGAAGAGAGCTATCTCAGTAGAACCTGTCCTCGACTTGCCTGACCCAAGCAATCCGTGTGAGCTACACACAGATGCTTCTGACTTTGCCATTGGTGGGGTCTTGATGCAAGAAGGACATCCCRTCGCCTATGAGAGCCGCAAATTGAATGATACAGAGAGGAGGTACACTGTGCAAGAGAAGGAGATGACAGCCATCGTCCACTGCCTCCGCACATGGTGACACTACCTGCTTGGCTCCAAGTTCATGGTCAAGACTGACAACATAGCTACTAGTTACTTTCAGTCACAGAAGAAGCTGAGCCCTAAGCAAGTTCGATGGCAAGATTTCTTAGTGGAATTTGACATGACTCTAGAATACAAGCAGGGCCGATGAACAGGGTTGCTGATGCACTTAGCAGGAAGGCCGAGCTTGCAACATTATCCACAGGTGAAGGTCCCTCTAAAAGTCAGATCAGACTGGACCTCATTGAGCGCATTAAGAAAGGACTCCAAAAGGACCCCATTGCTCAGAGCTTATTGACAGCTGCTCGTGAAGGGAAGACTAGGCGATTTTGGGTTGAAGAAGGCCTTCTTTTGACAAAGGGAAGGCGGATATTTGTACCGAGAGTTGAAGACTTGAGGAAGACTCTCCTACGTGAATGTCACGACAGCTTATGGGCAGGACACCCTGGGTGGCAGCGTACCTTGGCACTTCTACAACATGCCTACTATTGGCCTCATATGGAGCAAGATGTTCGAGAATACACAAGGGCATGCCTGATTTGCCAGTAAGACAAGCCTGAGCGTGCCAAGCCTCTTGAACTCCTACAACCTCTTCCAACGCCCTCACAACCTTGGGAGAGTGTTTCCATGGACTTCATCAACAGTCTTCCTAAGGTGGGAGACTATGCATCCATTATTGTTGTTGTTGATAGATTTTCCAAGTATGCCACTTTCATCCCAGCACCAAAGTACTTTTCAGCTGAAGACACGGCATACCTTTTCTTCAAGCACGTGGTGAAATATTGGGGAGTCCCACAGAACATTGTT